AATGAATTGTCCTGCCTTGCTTTGTAAAGTGGCAGAAGACATCAGATCAGTGTTGTGCCTTAACTATAGGGCAAGTTTCTCTTTGTATCAAAACTAGAGTTTATATTATTGAAGTTAAAAATATAACTTACGTCAGCTTCTTCCTTGCTGAAATTGCAGTTCATCATTAATAATTGGGCCTTGGTCATTTTTTTCTTTTTGTACCCCAGTAAATAATTCCGTGCTTGATGGCTGAGGAACTGTGGATTTCCCAAATTACTTTAGAAGTTAAATGGCTCAGGTCTCTTTCCTGAGCTACCACAAAGCTAACTCATCGTACTGATACACATAGACAGCAACATTTCAGAAACCGAACTCCTCCAACTCTGTGGTGAGCAAAATGATGGTAATAAACCACAGGCACTGTTTCTTATCTCACCTCATTACTATCCTGTCTGCTTCACTTCTGTAGGTTTCGCATTCCAGCCACAGACCATTTCCAGCTTTTCGTATTTTGTCTGTCTTTGCAGGAGTTCCTAAGATAGCCACTAAAAAGTTATGGTTTTTTCCTTAATATTACCTATAGGAATAAACAAGACTGGGTTTTCTCATGGCACGAGAATAAGTTATTCTCTCCAGGTATATCAAATAACATGACATGAATGCTTTTCCTGCTATTAGTATGTTTCAGAATGGATAAGCTGAAGTCTTGCATTCAAACGTGAGCAGAGGCGATGTGAATAAGCAGTGTTCAATGCAATGTGCCCAGCCTACGTAAACACTGGGCTTTTTCTGTTTAGCCTAGGTCACTTGTTGGGAACCCCTAAAGCAAATTCTGTCTTTCAGAATACAATTTTCTTATCTCCACAGCTGTTGTGCTCTATGATGTGTTCTACTTTATGGCTCTTCGTTCAAAATGTTGGGGCTGTGAATCTGTTGTGTGCGAATCTGTCACCCACTTATCTATTGTGCGTGTACTCTGTATTTAGACTAACCTATGTAAAGCCCTGTCAACTTCACCGTCACTGATGCTGCTCACAGCTATGCAGTTTTAGTGTCAGGACAACTGCTTGCACAATTGAACATGGCAGGTACACTATAAAAGGTTTTACTACTAGATTTGAGACCTAGTTTGGGGAATGCTCAAGGAAATATCCATGTAAGCAAGTGCACAATGGAGTTCCAACAGCACAACTGCAGCTAACCTGTTTCTGTGGGAGAGGCAGCGGTGAGTTTGCTCACGCAGAGTTCTGCAGTCAGGGAATGGTGGTCAGAGCCAAACTTTCTTTCCCCAAGCCCTCAGAGGTGCTCTGTAAGAGAGGTTCGTGAACACCTGCTATCTCTTCGTTACTTGCTCCAATGAGGAATTGCATACGAAGCCATTTTAGGATCAGATCTGCGTATCAACAGATGAAGCTCAGGACAGAGGAGAGTTGGTCCTTAGGTATCTGGTATGAAAGACTGAGTATCACAATCACAAGTTCATGTTCATTCTCTTCTGTGCTCTGTCATGCTATATGTACTTCTCTGTCCTCTCTTAGTTATTGTTACTTGGGACAAGCCTTGCCTGCAAGATATAGAGCAAAAGGCCAAAAAAACCCCAGCCTCTCTCTCTCTCCCCTAGACAGACAGACAAGCAAAGAAAACCCCCTTGTACATTCTTTAGTTGATGCTCAAAACCAGGAAGCACTCTCTAACTTTCCAATGTGCTGGGACCTCTTCTGATAAAGCAGATATCTAAGTCCCCAAGATTGCCAGGACCGAAGGCCCTATGTGATTTCATATTGTTACTCTCTGAAAATGGAGCTGTTGACCAGTGGTAGTCCTTGTAACGCTAGTAAGTGCTTCTAAGGTGAATGCTAGTCGTGCTTTTGTTGGTGGTAGCTTCTATCTTGCTCTAACAGGACACAACCATACAATCCTAATGTCGGGCCCATCTATCCTATTCCTATCCTGTTGTTGTTGCTAGATTGGGAACATTTCTACTTTAACGTTTAAAGTCTTCTACCTTACCAACTTTGCCAACATAATACTGCTTATTGCTCCTTCTCTGATCTTAGCAACTTCCAAATGTCATTGCTGCTTGATTTCATGCTGCTGAATGCCAGGCGATACTAGCTGTTGTAAGCAGCGTTTGGAACAGTAAGGTGAGGTGCTGAACAATACCCTGCTGTTTCTTATGGGAGATGAAAAAGGTGGTGGAAGCACAGGTCAAAGACTCTGTGGGGGTATTTATGCAGTGTTTGATTCATTCACTACCAGTGAATAGTTTAATATTAAACTCCATTATTTATCCGTATTATCACAAAACTACTGTGCGCTTTTACCTTGACCAGTCTGTAATGTGGTGCTTGCATAGAAATTATCTTAAGGGGCTACATGCTGTTAAATGGAAATGAAGTTAATGTAACTTGGAAGTGCTTGTATCCTCAGAAAAGAACAACATTTTTATTTAGTGTAATATTGCAGGCAGTAATGTTGGGATGTCCAAAGCAACCTAAGGCACTTGGGCACCTGTTCCTCACTGATGTGTTTAATGGAATTAGGGCTTCTGTTTCCCTTGGGTTGCTTTGGGAGTCACTGTTAAAGTCTCTTGAAATTAATGGGAGTCTTTTATGCCTTAAATATATGTCATTAGGCTGAAGTGTTCAAAATCTTGCCTGTTAAACCATTAAAAATGTTGGATGAATATGTAAACGTGCAGAAAATGCAAGGCCAAAAAACTTATACTAGAATTTCAAATATTAATACGAAGTAAGCTTCCTAAGTTGCCCACCTACTACCGGGGATGTTATATGATTGAGCTTATATTTTCAGCCATAATAGAAAATGTCTAGAAACCAGTTTTCTTTATCCAAGGCCTACATTCATTTCTAATACTGTCTAGTCATTTAAACAAGCTTGTGCTGGCTTATGAATAGTAAGAGACTGTACTTTTGGTTAGGACGAAGGAACATAAATCACTAAGTGTCAGGCAGCTTAGAAACCAGTATGTCCTCATGATTGTTTAATAGAGTACAAAGGGAATTGCCTTCAAGCTAGTGAAATCTCGTATCCAGTCGCCCATTGGTGATGCTTCAGAAAAAAGAAGAAAAGTGTTCTCTTATGGGTTTTGGCATAAAAATTTAATTAGCAGCTGAGCTCTTTCTGAAGATGAAAAAAAAAAAGTGATTACTTTGTATATATTCACTTTCCTTTAAATGTTTTCTTTGAATTTCTGTATTGTTCACACAGATAAGGTCTGCTGCCTTCTGTATCTATATTTTTTTTGTGTCCTTCAGTAGTGATTTCAAAATTATTTTATGCGGTTTCAGCAGTTGTTGGGGTTTTTTTTGTTTGTTTTTCATTATGTTTCAGCATATTTGAACACTGTTCTTGGAAGACATTCAGAACACAAGTCAGAGGAAGAAATGGATACATAATCAGATTTAATACGTAGTGGATACAAAACTGCTGTTATTAAATAAATTAATAATTATAATAATCATTATTGTCATTGACAGATTTGTTGAAATGAAGGTTTCTTTAGAAGAGTACAAAGATAGTGAGTATACACTAATCAGAAAATCAGTCCTCAGTTTGAATCAGATACTAATTATGCTATTTATTATAGTTTCATCTCTTTAGCAAATGTGTTATTTTGCTCTTAAAGGAATTAAATCTTATGACTTAGCAAGTATTTGCAGTGTCGTAGTATGATGCCTGTGAGAACTATGAATTTGATTTTTGTTTAATTTCTCAGATTTAAACAACTATACTTTAATCTTAGTTTTCTTACATTACAAGGAGACGGGAAACAAAAGAACAAGAACAGCCCCAATCGTTTGACTCTGTTGGCATTTACTCATATGTCAAATGTCTTAATGTCAAATTAATTAAGTCTCTGTTCTAACATGACACGTTTTTCGAAAGTGCAGTGGTGCACGGATATACTGTGTTCACCTTGCAGCATAAATGTTTGTGTATTGTTTGATTTTGCAGTTAGTAGAAATGCTTCAAGGCCTAGATATGTCAAAGAACATGTCTCTGCTTCAAGGTGTTCCTTGGCGTATCCGTCAGTCCCAGTGCTTTAAGAACTGCCTCAAAACAGTCAGACCAGCAGATACATGGGGGATTATATCAGAAAAGATGTGACGTCACTGAAACTCAGCTGGCTTCTTTAACTTCTTGTATGCCCAGACATGCATATGCTTGTCTATTTATTCATTTATAGATGACAGCAGTGAAGTACGTCCTGGCTATGGATCCGGTATACATCTTCAAAACAAATGTTAAGTCCTGGACCGTATAACTGTGGACTTTGCTGTTCAGCTCTCCCAGGTGACATGTGTTGGATGTCATACCCAGGCCTGTGGCTTTACTTGGCAACTGAATCCTTTCAGCCCACAGTTAATTACTTCTAGCTGCCGTCAATATCTTTGAAGACTGAAAATAAAAATAATATACTTTAGGATGCTCAGTTGAAATTTAGAAACGAAGTTGCTTGCATTGTCTAGAAATCAACCTTTATTTTTCTAGTTGAAGAGAAAAATTGTAAAATGAATTTTTCATATATGAAGTGTTTTATTTCCTGGAAATGGTCATCTTCAGAAATGTTTCCCTCTTTCATGTCTTGCACAAGCCAATGTTTTTGAAACTTAAAGATTTAAGTTTTCTTTTTGAAAACACTGAAACAAAGTGTTTTGACACTTCTGAAATTCACCTTGCACCTTCTTTGGAGAGCAAGGTCAGACTCTGGATTTGAAGATGCTGACTATAAGAGTAAATATTCTCCTTGCAATACCAGACTCCTTCAGTTTCCATAAGAATCTGGTTGACTATGTAGGTCAGTAAGGGAAACACAGCTATTGGTACAAGTGACAAGACTGTGTTTAACTTGTTTGGTCTTCAGATTTTGTTGTTTTCCTTTAGGAAAAAGAGGTCAGTTAGGCTCTTTGAAGTAGACCGTTTTGTACCTTCTGCCTAGTGGGAGTCTGAGTGTGCTCAGGTAAAAGGAAAGGGGTCAGTAGTGTGTGCTGGGGATGTGCGACACTATAGCTAATGCAGAGATCATAGTCCACAGTGAGAAAATGAAGAACAGCTGGTCAGTCCTCAGAAGGGATAAAAATTTCCTAAGACCCAGAAGACTGGATTAGGCTTGCTGTTCTTTAGGAAATCGCTGACCTAGCTGGATTTGAGGACTCATTTTCACAGGGGGGAGTTGCATATATATGGTTTAACTTTGCTCTGCTTTACAAATTGCTTTGAGCTTTTTTTGTTTACGAAACCAATTGTTGTAGCTGTTACTTGTATAAAACCTGATTTTGGAGGAGTTTAAAGCCCTTGGCTTTGGGAAATTTACAGTAAAAAAAGCTTTGGGTCACTACACCTCTGTGTTCTGGCTCCATGGGTTTCTTAGGTAAGACCAATCTGCAGAAAACTGGTCCCTGTGTCTTCTCTCAACAGCCATTGTTTCAGTTCTAGTAAACTAGCCTTGAAATGAGCGATGTAAAGTAAAGGCAAAACTTCCCAGGAAGTCTGATATGACTTCAAAGCTAAGAAGAGTTAAAGGACAGTGAAGGATTCTGTGGAAAAAGGAGTATGATTTAAATGAAGAGAGACAATTTAGGTAGTCCTAAAAAGCTTTTGAAACTTCTTACTACAGTCAAAGATCACAATTCCTGCTTCCTCTTTCAGAGCTGGACAAAAGATAGCCGCACAAATTATTTACTTTCTGTATAACAATGTAACCTTAACTTCTTATGTTGGTGCCCTTCATTTCAAAATAATGTAATTACAAAACTAAGGGTTGGTTGGTTGGTTTGTTGTTTTTTGTTTGTTTGTTTTTTAAGAAGCTAAATGGCATGAGAATGAAATTAAAACAGCCAGTTTTGGTAGAATAAGACATTTCTGGTAGAGTTAGATTCTTCTTAAGCTCGACAGCCAAATAAAAATACTGGCAATCTGGAGAAAAAAAAAAAAAAAGTGTTTCTATGAGCCCATCCTCTTTTAGGAGTAAGTCTTTTGGAGATATTCTCTGAAGTTATCTGTTCTTTCTATCAGTAGAAGGAATTGTCTGGGATGCTTCTTTCTCCCTGCTTTGTGATCCTGCAAATACAACTGTCACTTCAAAGTCTGGATCTTGACATTTGCAAGACACATTTTGTGTTCAATATCTGGTGTATAATTTCTTCAGTATAAAACATCTGCTACGTGATTTTTCTGATCCCACAATATTCTTTGCACACTTTTTGTGGGAAAAGTAAAATGACAATTTATTCTCCACAGTAAAATTTGTGGAACTCTTATGAAGTTGTAGAACATAGACTTTTAAAACAATTTTCCTGAGGGTATATTTATGAAGGTTGTAGTACTAAAAAGCAGTGAGGTAGGATAGCAATGTATTATAAGGATAGTTCATGCATGCTATACTATAACTAAGTTTTGGGGGAACTTTTAAATCAGCAGGACTCTTCTGGGTTTTTTGGTCATCATTTCAAATTGTGAAAAAATTGTATCTTTAATTGTTATTTTCAGTTTTACAGAATTTTTGGATCCATTCCAGCGGGTTATCCAGCCAGAAGAGATCTGGCTGTATAAAAATCCTTTGGTGCAATCAGACAACATACCTACGCGTCTTATGTTTGTAAGTACTAAAGGTTTACTGGTCGTTTGATGGCTGTAAACTAAGTACACTTTCATTTGATAAACAGTGGGAAATCTTTCAGAAGTAAAGGATATTCCTTTAATTCTATTGACGATTATTTCCTGAACGAGGTATGTCCAAAATGGCAAAATGTAGGAAATCATGGGGAGTTTGTAAAAAGCAGCATTAACAGATGATTCAATTTGTGACTGTTGATTTTACAGTTTAAGATTTAAGCTAGTGTTAACTTAGAGGATGCTAGAGTAGTGATTAGAGAAGGTTTTTGAATTAGCTGGTTGGGTGACCTGACAAAACCTTGCCATGCTCTTATTAGGTTAAGTGTTTAAACTTTGAAATCCGATTTGGTTTAGGCGTGTTAGGCACTGAGATATTTGCCTCCAAATACTTGTGTGTTTTTTTTTTTTCCATGTTGACAAAACCTTTGTTTAAGCTTCTGCCAACAAGCATAGTAAATATACCATAGAGCTGTTCTGCTGTCACTGTACTTCTGGCTCTCCCCAGTACAGCTCATGCTGACTGTCTCATTTTGATGGTTTGTCTGGTTATCAAAATTCATGGTTTTGATAACCTTAACTAGCAATGATTAACAATTGTAATAGTCTACTTACCTAAGAGTACAGTAAGATAGACCACTGCAGAAATGCTAAGAAATTACGAGTATAGTTCAGGCTATTAAAACAAGTACGTCAGTCTTTGCAAAAACTCCATCAAAGTGGAGATTTTGCAGGAATGGGTATGGCAGATGTATCCTGAACCCCTTAAGTGAAAGCATCTTTTCCTGTGTCTTCAGTGAAGCCAAGATTTTACTTTGCAGATTAAGACTTGAATTCAGAATAAATGCAAATCAGCTATGTAATTTGTCTTCAATGTTGTTTTTTTTTTTTTTTTTTTTTCAAAAGGCTCAGGCCTTCAGTTACAGAAACTTTTTAATTAAGTAAGGAACAACTTAGAGGTGCTTCCTGTTTATGAAGCGACAATACATTCCAGCCTTCTGAGACAGAGGCTGGACTGGTTTTAAATTCAGCAACATATTGTTTATATTGCATTAAGAAGAAGCTCTATAAAAGACTTTTTCAGTCTGGATGAGTGAAAATATCTCTTTATCCTGAAATGCAAGACAGCTGTATAAAAACAAGAAACCCCCCACAAAACCAAACAATGAATTACTGTGGCAGGAAAGTGTCTGAGATTAATTCTGCCATTTTTCCTTACGCTGAGCATTACCTTGCTACATGGTTTCTCTGATCTGTGTTTGTAAGTGAAGAGTAGAAGAACTGATAGTGAATCATTGTACAGAGGTTTGCTACAGTGGTGAAACTATTTTGAAATCAGTTGGGATAATCATTAGTCCATCCTCCGTTCCCTAGGCTGTAGTCACTGGGAAGCACAATTCTGGGATGTTAGTGTAGTACATTTCCCTGTTATCCACTTCACACGGAGGCAGTTTTTGGTGTACTTCATGGTGGGTGGAACTTCTAGGCAGCTCTGAGTCAATAACGTTTCTGTAGTCTGTGTTCGTTTTCCTGCTCAGATCGTTGACACCTCAGTAACTCAGTGAACAGCTTCTTAATTTAAGAAATGTAGAAATTTCTAAATGTTTTTTCTTATTTCTTTAATTAAAAAGAAGAAAAATCCAACTCTAGCATAAATCACAAGCTTTCATTATGTAAAGAATTTCTTGCCACTAGTGTTGTACTCTCATACTGAAATGTACGGCTATGGCTTACCAGCAAGCAACCTCTAAGACTTTATGAATTGTGGGATTATTTTATACGCTGAGAGTTTTGAATTCAAGAGAAATATTGTGAATAATCCAAACCCAGATCCACATTAGACTTCTGCATGGGTAGCAAGCAAGCCACAAAGTCTGGAAAGACCTGAGCCTTGTTCTGTCTCTCTATGAGTGGATATTTCTTGTCTTGGAAATTGTAAGGTACGGTAAACTTCTCTTGAATGCATGGAAGAATGTGGGAGTCCCTATAACTTTAGAATATCTCTGGCTTGCCAGGATGAATAATGAACGAGAGAGATTTTGTTTCACAAAAGCAAGGCAATGTTGGAATATTTCACCACTGGAAAAGAAAACATTACTGAGATGCATCTGAGGAGTGTATTGCTCATTAGACGGTTGCCAAATCTGTTATGGATATAAGCCATACAGAATCTTTTTGCAAAATAAAGAAAATGGAGTCTTTAGCGAGGCAAACTTTCTTTTTGCTGCAGAATAAAAAACACCTTCCACCTAATGCTTTTGTGTAAGGAACAGCAATGTACTGCAAATGTGAATAGTTCTTAATCTCTCTCTAAAATCCATATGCTTGTGAAATATGAGGAAATCTGCAGTTTTATCAGATTTCTGAAGATTGATTGTGAAGTGGTTTGGAACAAGCTGCCACTTGAATTCTATTCTTTGTTGATGTTTTCTGCTGCTCCTGCTTGTTCAAAAGATTTCTAACTCCATTAAACCACCACTATAATGCCTGTCAGCCTGGCTATATTTCTACATGTTCTTCAACAATGGAATGCAGATATCTTTCTTTTCTTTCCTAGTGGCAATCCTTACATTTTAGAATGAAACTAATAATTCTAGGTTTTGCTTTAACCTTTTTTTTTTTTATTTCACTCTTTGAAAGCAGAAATTAAATTATTGCTGAGGCAAGAAAAATGAACATTTCTGGAGCAGTAACATGGCATTGGCATCCTAACTTGAATCTCACACACACTGTAGACAAAAGGGTGTTTTAAGTGGAAATAGTGCATCTTTTTGCACAAAACTTGGTGCCTGCCTTTTTAAATGTAAAAAAGGGGAGCAGACTTCAGACTGTGTTTTAATCTGCATAGTTTATTGAGTTAGATAATATTTTACAGTGCAGATGAGGGCAATCTGGTCCAAGATGCACTACCAAAATAACAAAGAGAGTGCATTTTCTTGTTGTTCCCTACTTAGATATTCTAAAAGCATAAAATGAGGACTGGGATTAATCTGTATTATAAAAGGAAAAGAGTCGCACATCATTTGTTATAACATTTCTGTCCTGTCTGTTTTTCATTTCAATGGGGCTGCCTAAGAAGTAAGGCACTGTTCAGCCTCAGTAAAGATAGCATAATCTTACTTAAGCCCTGGTGCCCCTTGTGCCGTATCAGATTGGTTTTCACTTTGTTAAAAAAAACAGTCATTTTCACTTTTCTTCAAGAGAATAAATGCTTTTGAAAGACCTTGATTTGTTTTTGAACAAATATGATTGTGAAGAGGTTTGTCGATTCCAGAAAGGAATAGACTGGAACCAGTAAGAAGCATAAATGGACTACCTTGCCTGCAAGTTGCCTTTTACCTCTGCAATTGAAGGTCTAAGGCAGAAGGGAGGATGGAAGGACCAGTTAGTAACAAAATCATAGTTTCCATGGCAAGCTACTCATGAAAAATGCCCTGGTATTGGGCTTGGGAGAAAGTGATATGTCTCTCTGGAGAAAGACCATAAATACCTGCTCTGGGGGGACAGACTGCAGTATAAAGACACTGCATGAAGTAGGATGCTTTTTGGATAACTGGCACATTTACAGTGAATCATCAACCATAGTCCAGATTGCTCTATGATAATGGAGATGCTGTTCGTGGAAATCAAGTGTGCATTGATGTGCAGATGCCATTTCAGGTTCCTTGTAGGAGGAATCCTGTCCTACAGCACTGACAATAAAAGAATATGGTTCTACTTCACCAGTGAGTGTACTTGTAGATGTTTGGGTGTTGTTTTTCTGTTTTTGAACAAAATCAAGCAGTTCGTTCCACATCCAAACACTTGTAAATGAAAGACTCATAAAGACATCATCATCTCAATGCATTCAGGAATGATAGTTAAAAAACCCCCCAAAAGTAAAGTAAATTAAAGAGCATTTTAAAATGTCAGGAAGCTGGTGCTGGAGTTCATTATGTTTAACAGGATCTTACTGAGAGCAAATCAAGGACGGGCTGCCTTCTGGAGAATTCTTCACTTCTTAGTGAAGAAAAAACATACCAGATCTGTATAGATCAGTGTATGGATTTTGTGGACTTTATAGACTGTTGCTTTTTCATTTATGAAGCTGACATTTTAAATGTAGCTCCGGGCAATTACAAATCAATTATAACCCACAGTTATATTGCAATTTTAATGTATTCGTTGCCCTGTAGTTGCAAAGACAAATCATCCCACTTTCCTTAAGGTCAGGAGTTTGATAAAGATCATTCAGCCTTCTAGTTTAAATGGAGCTAACTGAAACTAATTATTAATCAGTTGGATTGAAAAGGAATTGATGCTCTCACACATGGTATTTGTTATCTCTTACAGGCAATTTCATTCCTTACACCACTAGCAGTCATTTTTGTGGTGAAAATAATCCGGCGAACAGACAAAACTGAAATTAAAGAAGCTTTCTTAGGTAATGTATGTCATAGTTCAAGATGGAAAATGTGTGATAGGTCTCAGAGATTGACTCCAATTGTAGTCTAAGCCTTGAAGTAAACCTGTTTCCATTACAGTAGTTTTCAGTGCAGTTATAGTTGCAAGCCATCTCACAAAAGCCTTTGTTTTTATGTATGTTTCTAAATGTACAAATTCTGTGCCTTAATTCCGAAATCTAGCTAGCAAGGGCCAGAATCCGATCAGCAAAGACAAGGCCATCTGCGAGAGTGTTCAGATGTATATTATATTTTTCTCTCATAGCCAATCTGTTGCTTACCTCTTATTTATACTTGCAGCTATTCTAAATTAAGGGTTTGACTGGAAAGTCCTGTGAGACTCAGCTGCTTAGTGTAGAAAATTGCTCCTCTCATCGCTTTCTCTGACCTTCTCCTGGAGTTTACTGTTCACCATTGCAAAATCCATGCTTGTGGCTCAGCTTTTCTAATCACAAGCTGCTGTTTCATCTTAAACTGCCAGTGGAGTTAGATGTGCACTTAGTCCTGGACTGTGAACTGCTGTGGCTGTGTTATGGTTGAGGTTTAATTACAGCTGCAGGCAAGAACTTTGAGCAGAGAAGCAGGTAGACAATGGGGATGGTAAGTCTTAAACTGGTCCAGCTAATTCTGGCTGCACCTATCTTTTGAAATCTTTTAGTGATATATGCCCAGATCCTTTTTACATAGGTATTGCCAGAGACCAAAATTGACTAGAGTACTTTCACTGGCAAAGGATACTTTGAAGCACTAAGAACTGCTAATGTTTTTGTTGGCAGTATGTTTGAAATATGCCTAATTCTGAAATGCTGTTTTACTGGCTAATTTAAGCTTTCATTTATTGACCCTTAGATCATAAAGTCAAATCAATACTCAGCCTTGCCTTGGCTATATAGAACGTAAATGGCACTATGTATCTGTCTTTGAAAATGTTTTTTAAACAAGGCTGGGTTCCTATAACTTGTTCTTTCTCCAGTTTCTCTAACACAAGTGTGAAATACCCTAGTTTTGTTTTGGCTGCTGCCAGTCATTTGTTGTAAGTTCTGAGATGTCTTATAGTGATATTTTACTGACAAATCCATTCAGTAGAAATAACTTTGATTCATAAACTGCATACAGTCACAGTTCTGAGTTTCACTTTCTGTTAAGAGGGAAAAGAGCTTTGGATTAATTACTCCGTCACTTATTCTTACCTTTTTGTTTTAAAGAGACACTGACTTTTTTCTGCTGTTCTTGCCTTCTGTATGATTCTCTCTATAACATCCAGCAGAAAACTTACCAGCTTCCCCAGCATTCTCTTGCTACCCAGCCTTTAAGGAAACCTCAGCCTTGATGTTCTGTTCTGCAGGGTATCCCTGTTCAGTGTGTGACATAACTTTGGAATGTCTTGTGGCTCATTTATGTTCAAGTCTACTGTACATTAATACGATTCAGTCTATTAATGTGTCTGGTGATATGAAGCTGATGTGAAGATTCATTAACTGTGGTGGAGCTTCGCTGATTTGCTGAGATCTGGCACATAATGTTCATCATGAATGATCAGGAAGTCCCCCAAAAGGCGAATTTCTTTAGGCATCATACGTAGAAGAGATCAAAGGTTAAAAGGATGTGAAAATGCTTTGCTGCTCATATAACATCAATACAAAGACGGTGATTCAGTGCATGTAGGGTAAGGAATAGTTAGCTTCCTAATGTAGGTGCCCTTAATCCTTCCCCTGGAAGTACCTACATCTCCCTAGTGACTAGATTATATGACTTTTGGTGGGCAGTATGAATCTTTCCTAAAGCAAACAAAGTAAGAGCAAATGCAATTTGTTTATCAGCTTACATTCACAGTCACTTGATACCTGGATTGCCTTTGTAAGGAATATGCAACAGTGAAAGCATAGTTCAGTCAGGTATGCAGTGAACAATCCAGACAAAGCTCAATGAAAAGGATCAACTTTACCGCATGTCTCAGAAAGCAGATATTGCTACATCTCCCATTTTTTAGAAAGGAGAATGTGGTGCTGTAACATTGGTGGTCATATGCATTTGACTTTGTGGAAAATTTCAGTTCACCATGCAATCACAATAAATAACAGAGAAAACAATTGAGAGGAAAAAGAGAGCATGAGATTGAGTGGTCACTGTGAACATAGGTGTTGTGAGTGGAAGACTTTTTTGAACAATATCGTCTCTAGGATTGACTTGTTCTTTTATTTTTGCTGGCAGCTATTGCTGTAGTCTGAGAAAACCCTTGATTTTGCTTTGATGGAGAACCTCCTTTTTTTTTAACTTAAAGAAAAATAGATCCTATAACAAACACATTTTTATGATCTATAATATCCTCAGGCAAAGATTTTATGGAGACAGGATGAGTGCTGCCGAAGTGCAACATCTGGGGCAGCAACCCAGTGAGAAAATAGCTCGTGAGGCTGTCATAATCAAAAGTTATCTTACTGTAATTGTTCTGCTGGAAATCAGAGATTTGCCTGATAGTTTGTTGTTTTTTTTTTTTTTCTAATTGGAAATAAAATTCAGTGGCTCTTCTGTAGTAACAGGGAGCTATTGTGTGAACTGCAACATTAAATCTAAATTTAATCTAAAAGGAGTGTATGCACTGATCCAAGTGCCACTGAAATCAAGGCAGAGATCTCCACAGGCTTTAGATGAGGTTCTTCAGAAAGTCTAGGGACTTGGCAACAAATAAAAGAGATGAATCGGTCATACCTGTTATGACAGTTCCTGTTTATTACTCCAGTGTTATTAGGAAAATTGGTTAATCCTGGGAACAAATGTAAGGGGAAAATGTCAAGATTTTTATTCAAAACATCCACATACTTTTGAAAGAAAAATAGAAAAACATCCAATTCCAGTTTTAGCCAAAAGGCAATTCTTTAGCCTGAAAGTGGACTGTTTAATTGCATCTCATATATACATATATATACACATACGTAAACATATACTCACACACGTGTATATATGTCTTACGTATAGGTCTATAGAGGAATTCTCCTTCACGCAAAAAGTGTAAGATTATCATCTAGTAAATTGCAAAACTGATAAACATAGTACTTGATTCTCTAATATTTTTTTCCATCTGATGATTTAAGCCTGTGCAAATGGCATGATAGGAAAACTGGCTTTGTATAAAGAAATAAGATTTCTTAAGAGTAAAAGCAGAACAAAGTAAGCCATGTGATTATTATGGTGCTCTAGGGTCTGTCCTTAGTCTGGGTAATAAGAAAAACAGTAGGCTGCAAAGATCATTCAGTTTTTAGTTCAGTAAAGGTTTCAGTCTGTAAATCAAATGCTATAATGCTGCAATTTGTAGCTTGGTATTTGGGTTATTATTGTTCTGTTTGTTCATTCTGTTTTGTAGCTGTTTCCTTGGCTCTAGCTCTGAATGGCGTCTGCACAAATACTATTAAATTAATAGTGGGAAGGTAAGTCTTGTCATGTTATAAATGATAGTTTTAACTGTTAAGAGAAATGAAGACAGATTGACAAATACAATACATCTTAATAAAAAGATAGCTGCTGCTCCAAAGCACCTTGAATTAGAATGGGCCCCTGTGAAGCTGTCCTTTTCATGGTGCATGTGTTGTACAACTTCATTATGTGACATCCAACTCTGGTAGGAACCTATGCCCTTGTGTTTTGTTATTTGTATGACTGGTTGGCGGATCCAGAAAAATGAGGAATTTGAAAGGAAAGGTGTGAGTTGAAATCAGTTCATTGAATTGGCAGCACAGAAGGGAAGAGTCACAGCACGTGGGAGTTTAGATGCCAGTGCCACTAGTCTGATTAAATAGGAATCAGTGGAGTCTCTATATAACGCAGTGCCTGCATTTTGTGTCAAGCACATTACTGAATGTGGTATTTCCAGGTAACATCAAGATCCATGGCAGAACAAACCTTGGAGCTAAGCAATAAGTGGACTCCTAGGTAGGCCAATTTTTTAGGGAAGCACAGATTTGAACAAAGGGCTCAGAAAAATACTGGCAAACAAAACTCTCTGGAAAATAATTTTTTTTTAGGTATTTTTTGGCTCTTTATCAAAATTTTGAATAATTTCAGCTGAAAAAAATGATTTGACTTGAATTCATACCCTATTTAATAGAGTCCAATGCTGCATTTGTTGCTCACCTGTTTTGCAGCATTGAGGAAGCAGTATTTGTGCTTGGTTTCTGATGAACCCTCTCTGCTACAGTACTGGTACCCTGACAATAATGGTACTTGGCACTTTTATTTTAAGAGCGCTTTTGAAATATAATTAAGAACATCTGCACCATCTTCTTCAGGCAGACTTGAGCTCATTTTGCCTGCACTCCAAGCCAACTAGTTGCTCTCCAGCTTGTCTCTGAATCTGTGGTCATTCACCTTGCTTCTCTATGTGGTTTATTAGCTCAGGATCAGTATGACATCTGTCAAACCTGTGTGCTATCATTCATCTCAGAGCAGGGTCAAAAGAAACTCAGAGGTTTGTTCAATGCAGTTAGAGAGTCAGCATCAAGGCTGGCGTTAGAATTTGGTGGTTGTTTTAGTGCCAACCTTGTAGCCTAAGTTGTAGTCCTCTTCTCAGCTAGATGTGTCAGCAAGACTTGTGCAACTTTGTGGGGTTGCTATGCCACTTTGCTCTGTCACTGGAAGTGCTGTCCAAGATTAATTGCTCTAGGCAAGAGTAACCCTGCATGTTCGTTTTCAGACACTTCCTACTTGCATGCTGCACTGCAAGCTTCCCTGAGAGAGCCTGCCTGCAAGAAAAAGTGACCTTGAATTGAGGGACGTGGTTTAGTGGTGGACTTGGCAGTGTTAGGTTTACTGTTGGACTCTATGATCTTACGGGTCTTTTCCAACTTAAATGATTCTATTATTTCTGTTGCTGTGTTAAGGCAGGAAGGAATGAACTCTGTATGTAATAAGCAGTAAATATAATAATCACTTTGAGGTTTATTTGTTACTACAGCTTTTATATTTTTAATATCCATGGTGTTTTTTGTAGACCGCGTCCCGATTTCTTTTACCGCTGCTTTCCAGATGGAGTAATGAACTCTGAAATGCACTGCACAGGTGATCCAGAACTGGTGTCTGAAGGCAGAAAAAGCTTTCCGAGTATCCACTCTTCCTGTAAGTTCATTTAAATGCGGTGCCTCTTTTGTAAAAAGTTATCCTAAGTATGTTTTGGAATTGCTCTTTTTTTTGTTAGATCATAAACCTGTTTTTTGCTGGAGGGGCCTGGACTTCTGTCTTAGATCACCATTGCCAGAAATTTCCTTCTGGAAATAAAGTTGTGAGCCTGTGACCTTCCTTATCTTGAGAACTACCTGATTTCACTGAGAGCCATAGCAGGAATATCAGTAGAGTGAACTATTCAAGGTTAAAGAAAACAGTGTGGTTCTGTTCCCCAATGCAGACTTCTATATGCAACATTTGTCTGTATAGTAAATATTTATTCTGTTATATTCCATTGAAGTATGAAATGTGACAAGGCATGTTTAACCTGCATAGTTTTGACAAGATCTAGTTAATGTCTTTCAAGTACTAGATCTATTAAACTAAAGTTCAAGTCACAAAGACATTTCAACTGCTTTTGTCATTAAGGTTTCTTCATGGGAGGTTGTACGCTTGAAGGTGGAAGGTGTAGAAAGGGATACACAGAGCTCGTGTTGCATCATTTTGATCCTGTTCATCCTAGGCACAAAGTGAGGTTCAAGAAGTCCCTGTAGCAGTAGAAGCTATTGTAATACACCAGTAGAAGGATGATTCTTTCATTCCCTGTTTTCTTACTCTTTTGACAGTATCCACTGCTGGCTGTGGCTAAAGAAGGGGTCCTTGTCTGTGTGGGCCTTGATTCTGAGGGGTTCTTACACTTGCATGTTCAGATGTCTAGCTCTACTGGACTGCTTTGCCTGGGCACAGGCAGGAGTAAATGGTAGCTGTTCCCAGCTCAAGCAAGCCGAGGAGAATAGGTAGAATGTCCTGACTTTTCTGTCAGCGTGACAGCACAGAGGTAGCACGTAATGGGGGAACAGGTGTATCAATGATTATCTTACTTAGAGGAGCAGGTGGGAGGAGACAGAGGTAAATTTGGCACAGTTTGGAGTTTCTGTGGTTTCTTGTCTGCTCCTAGGACTGCACAGTCGCTTGTCACTCCATTTGGCTTTGAGGTGGTCCTCCATCTAGGTCTGATGGTTTGATCAGTTACTCCTAGTTTATGCTATTTCCTGCCAGACATTTAAGTGGCTTTATGAAAACTCATATGTCTGATTTAATCGGTTGTATTAACTCAGATGTTTACAAAAGTTTCTTTCTCTGTCTTGAGGAGCTGACTTCTAGAGTGTTTTATGTCAAATCCCTAATAAAATTTCTTTTCATCTGTAAAATAATTTGATTACTGTGAGCTTTTTTGGGTTCTTTTGGCCAGTACTGTTTGTTGCCTTGTGCCGTTTTCTTTCCGAGAACTGCCAATTGAGTACCAGTAAGTCATATCTCTGGAGTTTGTTTTTCTGATCTTTTTTTTAAAGTAATAACTTCAAATTGTCTAATTGTACAGAATTATATATTGCAAACAAGTTGGGTAATGAGATGAATGAAATTCTGAGCTGATCTTGCTCCCTTTTTCTTGTTTGAGTCCCAGAAACAGATAAGGGAGTAGTAGATGTTTGTGGATATGTTATAAGCTTTATAGTCCTAAACAATAAACCAACTTAACTATCTCAAATTTTGTTTCTATACTTCAATTACATTAAAGAGACAATAGCAGAATATATCGTATGCCATTTAAAACAAATGGTATTTATTGCTATTTGTAGTCTGTCTTCAGATCTGGTTATCACACTTAATTTCAATCCTTTTGGTTAAGTATTTTGTCAATGTATAACAACAAAGGCTTAAAATAACTCCATGTATACACTGGTGTACTAGAATTTATAGATTAGCCCTCAGCAAGTGTTATAGTTGGTCACTTTTCTTTACTAAGATGCAACATTTTACTCCGAGGTTGCGAAGCGTGAGTTGCAGAAGACACCCAGTGTGCTTTTGTTTTTCACAGACTAGAAACACTGTACGTGTAGCGTGCTTGGCTTAGCTCTGGCACGTGTATTAGTCCTCTTACTGAGACTGCTTGTCACACAGCAAAGTACTTTGTCCCTGTGCCAGTGGGGCAGCCATAGAATGCATACTGGGGTTTTACTTTTAACTGATGTTGTTTTTAAAAGCACTGAGTTACGTTACTGCAGCTCACACAAAATTCAATTGGAGCAAGATGATGGCCCAGTGTATTTAGATCAAAATTATGAGAACAGCTTTCTCCATCACTGACTAATATAATATTAGCATGTGGCTGAGTTGACTGTATTTCCCACTACAAAGCTTTTCATTACAATGTGAAGAGAATGAAAAGATATTACATATGCAGTAATTTTTAATCTGTTCGTAAGTGCATGCTAGAGTCAGGCAATTCTGCAGCTGCTTGAAGTACTTAGCAGTTTGAAGCCTGATGTTATAATATCTAAGTTTCTGCCAAGACTGTGTGTTTTGAAGTCTTAAAATCCAGACATGTTTTAGTCTCATAATGGAGAAGGAAACCATTTTAATTTGATGATCTTACAATGCTAACTTCTGCTACTTCTGTGTATTAAAATTATTTAGATAACCAGGATTGTCAGTATTATTTTATCAAGAATAGTTTATAGTTGTGATAAATTTAGTTTCTTGCTGTTACTTCATCCCCCACTAGATTGAAGAGTGAAAAGCAAAAATACTATGGGAAACACAATATGCTACCTTCCTGGATCTATGAAGCACTGAGGATGTTGAGGATATAATAATTCATGTTCAGACATTTTGCTATAATTCTACATTTTCAGTATTTTGTTTCATGTAATGCACGAACTATACCTCCTCTACCTTTCACTCCCTGTGAAAAATTATTCTTTTATCTCATGTACAAAAAGCTGTCCTTCCTGCCTTCTTAACATGTAGGTAATTGCAAAGTTTCCTTCCATAAACTTAGTCCAAGATTTTTTTCTTGGCTCCTTTTTACCTTCCTTCAGCGTAAGATTGCTACTAGGTAAAATGAAGGAGTTCCGTTCTTCAGATTTCTGTCATCCTTTCTCTGTCTGTTGCTGAATTCTTGCAGCAGCAGCACCAAAAAAAGGTTTTTTGTTTCTGTTACTGTTTGTGGTTTTTTTTTTTTTCTATTTTCATGACTGTGGAAATGTAAGTGAGGAGGATGAGACATAAATTATAGTACCTCTCTTGGAATGATAGGTATAAGTAGCCCACTACAGTTTGGTATTTTCTACTTCAGTTGAACACATGAAGAAAATAAATCACAAGTAAAAGCTGCCAGGCAGCTCTTAAAGAGAGGTTAGAAGCTTCAGTCAAGAGCCATTTTCATCTTCAAAACAGTTTTTCTTAGAGCGTTCCTTAGACAGGTTGTCAGTCAAAAGCTTTGTTATACCAGGATCTGAAACCTCATCCATGCAAAATGAGGCCTTTAACAAGAAAGTCAGTGGTGCTGTGAATGTTGTCCTATAAGAATGTAGTGCAGGGATATATAACAAGAGTGACAGTACTGATAGCCCCTGACCTTGCATACTCAATAAAAATGTTGTGAACTACCTGCCTTCCACTTTCAGAGTCAACTTGTGCCCTGAAGGAGAGTGCGTTCTCCTTATTAGAGCATGGATGATTTTCTTGGCTTAAATTACCATGGCTTTCATCTCCCTATGCCAAGAAGTGCATGTAATACAAATAAAAGTAAAGTATGTCACACAAACTGTTTTGTAAAGCTGAGGAGTGACTTGCAGATAGATGCAAACTATAGTTGCCTGAAACAGTTGAAGTATTTTGTACCAAATCAGAACAGAAGGTTGACCCACATGAAGACCGTGTGGTTGTTACTACCTTCCCTGAACGAGGAGCAGAACTCTGCCTGCAGTGGCTGCTGAAAATGTACTTTGAGCTGGCATACCTCATTCAAGGCTGCTGTCTCCCAGCTCTGTCTTTTTCTGTCGTTTTTTGGAAAACCTGTTGAAGTTAGGTGACTCCTCTTGGTAACTTTTTATAACAGCAACTTGAGTTTAGAATCTACACAGGCACAACCCAACATTTGATGACTCCATTGAAATTCACCCAGTAGTGCATGTTCTATTGGATCAAAGAAGTCCTTAGACCTTCTGGATTGTTTGGAGCATATTTTGCCTCTTTTCCAGTTGAACTGCCAGTATAACTTGTTTGAGAGAACCAACATTTGGGGGGTAGGGAGCCAAGGCTCCTGCTTAGGTCCAGTAGCTCAGAGGTATTCCTGAGTCCCAGGTTTATATGTAGACATTCTGACCAATATACTTTCAAAATGTAGGTCTATTTTTCCATATTTAGTATTTCCATGGTTTTATAATCCATTGGCAATTTAATGCTATTTAAAGCTACTGCCTGTGAAAATACCATGCAGCTTCTCTATGTCCATGCTTCATTGAAAGAATGATGTTTATGAAGATCATAAACACAGCACTTCTTCCTCCTGCCGGTGTCCCTCCTGTGTGTCTTCTGTAGAGTTATCTTGCAGAGAGCCTTCAGGCAGCCTGCCTTTGAGGTACCTCATGGCATCCTAACCTCTCAAGATAGGTGGAGTAAGCACATACACTCTCCAGGGTTTGTTCTGGATGTACTTTGCAAGCTTGTTATACAAATAATAAGCAAGTCTCTCTCAAATATGGCCCTGAGAATAGTGGGAATTTCTGAATGTTTGAAAGCCAGTTACACCATCTGAAGTGCTGACCATCATAAGGAGTGGAGGAATTCAGCCATCTCTGTGGTGAGCTTCTGAAGAAACCTTGTCTTGTGTTTGAAGTAGTATGATGGGAACTGCCCTTTGCTGTATGGGGGTCTTTTAGCGTGGTTTCCCCACGTCAACTTCCTGATATGCAGTAGAAATGAGAACATATTCTTTCCTCAGATCACTCCTTGCAGTACCAGAAGGTACATAATGCAACTGCTGATGGACTGATACAAGACCCTTCATCATTTTTCTCTCCTTGCAGCAAGATTCAAACAGCAGCAGCAAGCGACAGATGAAAAACAAACACGAATAACCACATTTAGTGTATTTAATGAAACAAACA